TACAGTTTTGAAATTAGGCCTATGATAATGGTGGCGAAGATAAGTGTGCTAATAGCGAATATGGACCATAGTTTCACAAAGTAGTGATTTCTATCTTAAGGAAAAACATTCCGCATGCAAAACTGATGTGTGGGCGAGAATGTCAATGATTGGTTGTCTCGATGAGTCAGACATTAGAGGGGATGACAGGTGTTATGTGTTATATATATATTTCCCTATCCTTATTATGTATGAACTTATTGACTGTTCCATGTGTCGGATTTTCGTGTGGAAATATATTGACGTTATAGTCAGGCTAATATTGTGTTCTTGATCTGAGTTCTGTTGAAGTCCTGTAGAATAGACACTGGGTGGGAATCTAGTGTAGATATTCGTCTAAGATAAATTAACGTCCCACATACGTGTAAGAAGTAAAAGGACTGTTATAACCAGAAACCCCTAAGGTTATAACCAGCATCCTCTCTCTCTCTCTACGTTTATAACAATTGGCGACGGCATACATACGTTTATAACATTGGCGACGGTGATTAAAACGGATCTACGCTTACGTATTCAGTTAAAGTGAATTTTGTATCAAGAAAATGGATGATCTGAAAACCTTATTGCAACAGCAAAATACTCTTATCGAATTATTAGTCAAAAATATGTCGATATCCTCAAGAACTGATGTGTCTAATTCCACTATGACTCCGGATTCTATTGCAAATTCAATAACTGAATTTAGATTTGATCCAGAAAGTGGAGTTACTTTTGAGGCGTGGTTTAAACGCCATGAGGATTTATTTATTAATGAATGTAAAGAGTGGGACGAAAGTTCAAAATTGAGATTATTATTACGAAAGCTCGGAGTGTCCGAACATGAAAAATTCTGTAATTTTATCCTCCCAAAGAAGCCATCCGACATAACGTTCAAAGAAACAGTTGAATGCCTGACTCGTATATTTGGTGAACGGTCATCAATTTTTCACACTAGATACCAGTGTCTTCAACTTGTAAAGAAAGTACAGGACGATTACGTAACGTATGCAAGTATCGTGAACCGGGAATGTGAGCGGTTCCGATTACAGGAAATGTCCTCAGATCAGTTCAAGTGCCTTATTTTTGTATGTGGATTACAATCTTCAGTAGATGCAGATATTAGAGCACGGATTCTAATGAGAATCGAACAAGATCCTAATATCAGTCTACAATCAGTATCTGAAGAGTGTCAAAGAATGGTTAATTTGAAGCATGACACGAATCTCGTAGAAAGGAACAGTGAACACGTGGGAATTAATGCTTTATGTAAATCTTTAAATGAAAATAAAGATTCGAACTCCCAGAAAATCTCAAATCAAGTGAAACACAAAACGTCATGTTGGCGATGTGGTAAGTCTCATTCTGCCAAAGTTTGTTACTTTAAAAAACGAGTATGCTTTCAATGTGGTAAATATGGTCATGCTCAAGTATGTTGTAAAAGTAAACCGAAGGTTTCTGACCGTGAGCATAAGTTCCGTAAAGGAAATAAGATACATACTTCAAAAGTAATGCCGCATAACTCAAATGTTGTTCTGGCTACAAAAAGTGAGCATTTCTCCTCTAAAAGGAAGTATGTAACCATCTTTTTCGATGGCAAACCGGTCAAACTACAAGTCGATACTGGGTCTGACATAACATTAATTTCTAGAGAAACTTGGATTAAAATTGGCCGACCCCGATATCAACCTACATGTTATAATGCCAAGAGTGCGTCAGGAACTAATATTACTCTTCTTGGAGTAATACAGCTACCTCTCACGTTTGGTGAAAAGACTATGACCGGGAAATGTTATGTCTCCGGGAACTGTAATACCAATCTATTAGGTATTGATTGGATTGATAAATTTGGTTTGTGGGATTTACCGTTGAATGTGCCGAAAGCAGAATCCCAGTCATGGCCTGAAACGAAAAAACCTTGGGTCCGACTACACGTTGATTATGCTGGACCAATAAGTGGACAATATTTTTTGGTGGTGGTTGATTCATACTCGAAGTGGCCTGAAATTTATGTGGTACGAAGACCATCTACGTCTGAAACACTGCTACATCTGAGACAATTATTTGGTAGGTTTGGTACACCTAATGTTTTGGTTTCAGATAACGGAACGCAGTTCACGTCGTTAGAGTTTGCGGAGTTCTGTAAACAGAATGGAATCGAGCACGTTAGAACTCCACCGTATCACCCTAAGTCGAACGTGCAGGCAGAGAAATTTGTTGATATTCTTAAACGAGCTCTCTTAAAGATGGGAGGAGAAGGCAACGTAGAAGAGGCTCTGCAACAATTTCTCATTTCTTATAGAATTACGCCAAGTCCAAACTGTCAAGATGGGAAATCTCCAGCCGAAATAATGTTTGGCCGACCGATTAAAACATTTGTTGATGTTTTGAACCCGAAAGACAGAATCAGTGGACTACAAAAAAATAAGAAAGGGAATTGCCTGAAAATTCGAGAATTCAAAGTAGGTGACTCAGTCTATGCACGGGATTTCCGGCCTGGCAAGCCAAAATGGATATTTGGGTTTATAAAAAAACGACGTGGTACAGTATTATATGAAGTGATGGTCGAAAATACACTAATTATTAGACATGTAAATCAACTGCGAGATAGAAAATGTATTTATGAGTCATCTAAACTCAAACCATTACCAATGGAAGTATTATGTGATACATTTGATATTCCACCACCACCACAAGTTGAAATGAGAAAAAATGATCTAGAATCAGAAGTTAGACGAAGGTCATTCAGGAAACGGAAACAAACGAAATTTTTTCAAATAGACCCCAAAGTGAAATCATACGATTGAACTTCGCGAGGGAGGTGATGTGTGGGCGAGAATGTCAATGATTGGTTGTCTCGATGAGTCAGACATTAGAGGGGATGACAGGTGTTATGTGTTATATATATATTTCCCTATCCTTATTATGTATGAACTTATTGACTGTTCCATGTGTCGGATTTTCGTGTGGAAATATATTGACGTTATAGTCAGGCTAATATTGTGTTCTTGATCTGAGTTCTGTTGAAGTCCTGTAGAATAGACACTGGGTGGGAATCTAGTGTAGATATTCGTCTAAGATAAATTAACGTCCCACATACGTGTAAGAAATAAAAGGACTGTTATAACCAGAAACCCCTAAGGTTATAACCAGCATCCTCTCTCTCTCTACGTTTATAACAATTGGCGACGGCATACATACGTTTATAACAAAAACCCAATGTCATCTGATCGTAAGTTTGTTGAAGTTCATAAACGCTGACATTATTTCAGAAAACCCTTGTCAGACATTAAATATGACGTACCTACTCGATTCCCAAAGTCATCCTTCAGTGATCAAAGAAAGCTGTATTGGAGGATCCACAGTATCAAGTGCTCTTCCGAACTTCAAAGTTTTTAAATTTGTACACACGTAGAAATAGTGGTACAATCTAGAACGGACGAACAGTTTCTGTCTATATAGAAAGCTGGATTCGTGAAGCCAGGCAAAACGGACATTGAGCTTCTAATACGCTGGTTTGAAAGCAGGCCATTGGTACAAGTAACCAATGCACATGTTGAGTTGCCGAAAATGGAGCTAAGGCTGCATCACGTTCCTGCGGTCAGTTTCTCTTTAAAAGTTAAATGGACAATGTCATGCGTTCCTTCACCCCAGAATCTTTTATTTCGGCATTACGTATTTTTCCGTAAGGTTTTAATTGACTTCAGTAGATCAAAGTCACGAATGCTGGGTCTGTATCTAATATGATGTAGAGATAAATAAATCCCCAAAATAAACAGCCTCTTAAGTGTTCGACATTGAATTATGACCACATTAGTTTTAATGTATTCACCTAGTTGAAGGCGCTCGGTCACACATCCACACCAGATCAAGGTGGAAACACCGTGCTCAATATCCCCTTCAATTGCTAGCCAAATTAGATCAGTCGATCCATGATATAATGATTACCTACCAAATATATCTCCGAACCTCCTAAATCATGACTTTCGGTTTCACTTGGTGGGTACAATTCATAATACAAGGTGTTACTGGTTAAAGTATTGTCAAAATCTGAATTCCTCTGGCATCTTCAATGACATTCTAAACAAGGTTTAGTTAAGTTGCATTGATTACAGAATCATCAGAATTTGACATGTAGATACATTTTTTTCGACGGGTGTCAGAACTCATCAGACAGCTTGGAATATGTCTCCCAACACAATTACAGCAGATTTGTCAGACAATTTTCCCAATAAATCGGAACATTATTAAGGGTTGGGTTTCCTACATGAAAGTGAACGTAACACAAGTTTATTTTCATTGATAACAAATTATTTCGGTGACATTTTAAAAGGTTATTTGTGACCTAGGTGTTTTGTTTTCTTTGTTATCTTTTTTATCGCTATTCCACTTCTAAGGTGTTCAATAATTTAGCCAAATCCTGTGTAGTTGAATGAACTATCTGCCTATAGTCTTCGTTTTCAGAATTTCGTAATCTGAAGCTTGTGTTGCCATTAGTTATTATCTGCCTCTTTCCTTATTAAAATTAAGTGTATTTGTGCCTTTGTTATTTCATCGGTGTATCATTTCTCTCGTTCTTCACTTTTATAGCTCCCATAACTTACGCTACTCTAGTTACTCCGTTAGTATGAAAAGTGCCTTTTGGCTAGGCGCAAACCCTTGCAAGCTGACTATCAGCTTGATAACTCCTGATTTCATCGACATGGTCGCTTTTCAAGTGAACTCAGTTGCTTGACATCAAAATAACTTAAAATCAAATGCCTGGAGAGATCGCAGAATAATGCAGCCAAGTGGTTTGACTGACTACTCTAGACGCAACCAAACAATCAGAATTTCACGAAACACCATGAAATGAGCACAAATGGGTCAGATTGTTCTTACTACCTTTAACTAAGATATTAAATATCAGATGTTTTGTTTGAACCTATATCTGGGACCGTGTCCGCCTTTTTCGAAAAAGCCCTTGTAGCGCATGTTAATTGATTATGGTCAGAATAACATCTGAAATAGTTGAGAATGCTCCACAGTTTACCAACGCCATTAAAGATCGTGAGCTCAGTCTCAGAAGTTACAAGTTTCCTGCTATCGAAAATATGGGGTGTACATTGGATCAGTTCGATACCATTGATCTTTCAGATAATGAAATCAGAAAACTCGACGGATTTCCAATGTTAAAACGTCTAAAATCGTTGATACTTACAAACAATAAGGTGAACGTTCAATGATTGAATTTGATTCTAAAGTTAAATTACTGTCTCTATACTTAATTCCTTCTTACATGTACTTAAATTGTACCAATTACGAATGTTTTCTCCACTCTGATATAATTAAACACATAATGCTGTTAAACCCAGTTTACTCACCCAACCCTTAATGGTACTTGGTTCGTATCAAACATTCCCTATGTTCTATCTAAACATAGTTTTACTTGTTTGCGCATCAGCTAAATACAAAACTGTGTTGCTAGTGGTGTTATGGGTGTCAGATTTCGCATCTGTCGCCTCTCATCTCCTTTCTTGTATACAACTCCCAGACTTTCTTGGCTTCAAAACCGGTTGTGTCACTGATTCCCGTCATACCTTAAACCTTGCAAATACTCCTAGGAAACATGATTTTGTCTACCCATGAGGGGATCCCATCTACTTTGATCGATGCATTTTGAACATGGCACATGCAATTCTACACAAAGAATTCATCATTAGTGTTTGATTCAGTTCTCTGTATAATCATCGTTTTTTTTTCATGTCCGTGTCTGCTAATGATTGGTCCAGTCTTTAGATGTTCATGTTTTTGAATAGCGTTCGAAGGTACTGTCTTTCTATTAATCTTTGGGTGTGGCCTTAAATCTTCGTACAACAAAACTTTGCATTCATCTCATTGAAGGTATTAATTTATTATCTTAAGATACTTATGACCATGGTGTATTCGAAACTACTTATTTCTTTTATAGTAACGCATTTTAAGAACGTTGCAAAAATCGTGTGCTTTTAACCTCATGTATACTTGAGGTTACTTATTAACTTGCCTAAATCGATTTATGCAACAATTAAACGTATTGACTACTTCCTTAACATTGAGGACCTTACCAGCTATTATTTCTATTGTTATCCAGATATTAAAGAAAAAGACAAAAGGTCTACTGTTCACGACGTGCATATGAGCCTAAAAGGTTATCAAAACGACGAACATATTTCATGATAGTGCGCATTGTTGGTTAATGTCTGAAATAGTTATTAAATACGTAAAATCGTATATTCTATCACATGTTACCAAAGTAGTACACATATTGTCAACAGTTTGTATATGGTATAATTTTAGACTATAGCAGCTCACATACAATTGATTTTGTTTACATCTTATTTGATGAAGCCCTTTTGTTAACTTATTTAACGGACAGTCATTCGTGCAACAACAACCTATTTTTTTAAATTTATTTAAACACAAATATTGGTACAAGGAAGCACCAGATAAATATGCGCCTCACAAATCTCATTCGATTTGTGTGAGGGCTGTGATACTGCCCAGGTGCCCAGACTGAAGCAGGTGGTTTTCTTAGGGGGCCACACCCCGAGCCTTTGACCTGAATGTCTGATCCACAAGGCAGTGGAGCATCGTGAGGAGATGCAGTCCCATGGTAGACGGTGCTCAACGGTTGATTCGTACGCCATTTGTTCCCTCAGGATCCTGGAGCCCATGTGCACCATTGTTTTGGAATCAGGGTTTTCCAACTGCCCTAGGTGGACTCACCGTGTCCACCAACCTGGTTAAATCGTCGGATACTCGCTTTTCGTCCTCTCACCTTCGTACACAACACCCCCGCCACGAGAAGGCAGTGAGTAGGACTTCCCTGGCAGAGGCTATGTATTCGCGTGGTCATGAGAGAGCATTTTGAGAGGGAGGACGGATTCTCCCCACTCTCGGCCGTACCAGGGCATTTGGGGGCAAACTATCTATGCTATTGTACCTTTATTATGTGCGTTTGAGCATTGCTTACTGCCTACGCATGTATTCATTCTGCTAGCCTTACTATTAATCACTTAGTTGATTCGATTACTCATGTTTTTCCATTTGTATATATATGTACATCTTAATCGTGTTCACTGTACTGTACTCGATGACTCGATCAATTGACCTCTCGCTCACTTGCCTGCTTTACGGTACTACTCTTTCATGCTTGCTTAACGTGCCTGGGGTACCTAGCCTGTCGTATGCCCTGATGGTGTTCTCGTGACTTTCGGGTTGCCTGATCTGCCAAGGGCGATGTGACAGTGCATAACAATATTGTTGTGTGCTAGGTTCAAAGAAAATTGTTTGCTACATGCATGCAAGTCCGCCCCGTTATTTTCCCTAGCCCCCAAATGCCCTGGTATGGCCGAGAGTGGGGAGAGTCACCTCTCCCTCTTGAAATACTCTCATATGGCCAGCGAATATTTAGCCTCTGCCAGGGAAGTCCTACTCACTGCCTTCTCGTGGCGGGGGTGTTGTTTACGAAAGTGAGAGGACGAAAAGCGAATATCCGACGATTTAACCAGGTTGGTGGACACGGTGAGTCCACCTAGGGCAGTTGGAAAACCCTGATTCCAAAACAATGGTGCACATGGGCTCCAGGATCCTGAGGGAACAAATGGCGTACGAATCAACCGTTGAGCACCGTCTACCATGGGACTGCATCTCCTCACGATGCTCCACTGCCTTGTGGATCAGACATTCAGGTCAAAGGCTCGGGGTGTGGCCCCCTAAGAAAACCACCTGCTTCAGTCTGGGCACCTGGGCAGTATCACAGCCCACACACAAATAAATGAAATGATGAACTCTATTGACGATACTATCCCTGCTGATACTAGAAGCATGACAATTTACATTATTATTATTATTACCTTTATTATTATTATTATTTACCATATCGCTAACTCACCCCGTTTTATCCCCAATTTGTGTAACCTTACTTTTCAACTTATGCAGCAGCTCGCCCATGGTGGAAAATCTGTCCTATCTAAACGATCTCCAGTCACTGTCTGGTTGGAAGTGAATGCTTCCACTGATAATGAATACTGAAGCAGTCTTTCTGAAACCACGTACGCCGTTCAAGCTGGCTTCCTTCAACGTTCGCACACTAATGCATATCAGACAACAGATAGGGCTGGCTATGTCTTTGGAAGGTCAATGTTGATGTTTGTTGTCTATCCGAGACCCGTATTCAAGACTCTAGTGAAGTACTACAAATTCGCTCTCCATCTGTCGCCTCGAAAAGCTTGTTCCACGTGCGCTTATCCGGGGACCCTGTGGCATCTTCGTCTGGTCTTGCTGGCGTTGGTGTTGCACTAAGCGCTAGAGCTGAGGCAGCACTAATCGATTGGATCCCCATTAACAGTCGGTTATGTGCTGTTAGATTAGAAAGTTCCATCAAAGTGAGAAGAAATCGGCGTGAGAAACGGTGTCTTTTCGTCATCTCCGCCTATGCCCCGACAGATTGCAGCCCGGATGCAATCAAGGATGAGTTTTACCATCAGTTAACAGTTCTCCAGAAAGCGCGTTCGACAGATATTTTAGTACTAACCGGAGACTTGAATCCACAGGTCGGGCGTCTAGGCACAAAAGAGAGTCGTCTAGGTGGCCGATGGGGACTTGTTGGTCGCAGGACAGATAACGGGGACCGTTTGCTGCAACTGTGCACAGACCACAACCTGTTTCTGGCCAGCACTAACTTCCGGCACAGTCATCGCCGGTGTGCCACCTGGCGTCCTCCCTCTGCATCCCAAGCCTGGACTCAGATTGATCACATCGCGATCAGCTACCGCTGGCGTGGTTGTGTACAAGACTGCCGCTCCTTTTGGAGTACCTATCTGGAGTCTGATCATGCCCTGGTCTGCGCCAATCTCACCTTACTTTTCAGTGGCCGAAGGATTGACCACCACCAACGGATTGATATTAGTAAACTGGCTGCAACTCCTGTTGCAAGTAAGTATCGAGCGGAGCTAGCCTCTAGGCTAGCTACCACCCCACCGAAAAGTATAGATGAGCATTGGTTACATCTTCACGACGCCATGAAAATGGCGAGTAAAGCCGCTTGCGGCTTCGCGAAACGTCCCGCTTACAAGCACTGGGTTTCTTCTGTCTCCTTACAACTGATGGAAGCCCGTCGGTCTACTCCAGATGACCGTGAGTTTAACCACAAACGAAGGCTGTTACGTAATGAAATCGGGCAAAGCTTGCGTAAGGACCGGGAAGCCTTGTGGTCGGTGCCTGCTAATGAGATGGAAGAAGCATCTGCATCTTGTAACTGCCGGAAGCTCTTCCAACTCATCCGAACCACTGACAGCAAGAAGTCTGTTGTGAGTGAAACAATCTGTGAGGGTGACGGGATGCCAATCACTAATATCTCTCGACGTCTTGGACGATGGGCGGAATTCTTCGAAGGGCAGTTCAACTGGCCTGCTGCTCCGGCAACATCAACCAGCTTGTCCTGCCCCCCATGGCCGGTGACGACTTATCCACCAAACGAGGCGGAAGTCCGCAAGGAACTCCAACTCTTGAAACGTTACAAATCACCGGGCCCAGATGACTTACCTCCGGCTTTTTTTTAAAGATGGTGGTGACCTTCTGACTAAGGAATTGACTTTGTTGTTTACAAAGGTTTGGGAGCTAGAAAGTGTTCCAACATCATGGAATGAGTCGATAGTCGTCCCTATCTTTAAAAAGGGTTCACCTTGTTCCTGTAACAACTATCGGAGGATAAGTCTACTTTCGATTGTGTCCAAACTATTGGCTTCTGTCATTCTTCGTAGGTTGTTTAAAACCCGAGAACGATTGACTCGCGAGGAGTTGGCTGGTTTTCGTTCTGGTCGAGGATGCATTGATCACATCTTCACCCTCCGCCAAATGTTAGAACACCGTCATACTTATCGCAGGCCAACAATCGTAGTGTTTCTTGATATCAGGGCGGCCTTCGATTCGTTGGACAGGACTGTTCACTGGGATGGTCTATTGAAGAAGGGTGTGCCTGAGAAGTTCATTAACATCTTAAAGGCCCTGTATACGAACACCTCAAGCAGAGTGAGGGCATACAACCACCATTCTCCCTTGTTCCATTCGAACAGTGGGGTGAGGCAGGGTTGCCCGATCTCACCATTCCTCTTCAACTTTGCTGTCGACGACATCCTGGAAACAGCTCTGATGGATGTAAGTAATGGCGGTGTGGATATGTTGCCTGGAGAACGACTTCTCGACCTCGAGTATGCGGATGATATTGTCTTACTGTGCGATAATGCCCAAGGCATGCAATCAGCACTTAATCAGTTGGCAATCAGTGTCCGCAGGTACGGCATGTGCTTTGCACCCTCCAAGTGCAAAGTACTCCTACAAGACTGGCAGGATTCTCATCCTGTACTCACCCTGGATGGTGAGGAGATCGAAGTAGTTGAGAAGTTCGTGTATCTAGGTAGCTATATAAGTGCTGGTGGTGGCGTGAGTGATGAGATTGATGCACGTATAATGAAAGCCAGAGCAGCTTATGCCAATCTGGGCCATCTTTGGCGCCTTCGTGATGTTAGTCTGGTTGTAAAAGGTCGGATCTACAACGCGTCGGTGAGAGCAGTTTTGTTCTATGCTTGTGAAACCTGGCCTCTCCTAGTTGAGGATGTTAGACGACTCTGTGTTCGATCATCGTTGTCTCTGAAGGATTGCTGACATACAGTGGCAACACCATGTTAGTAATGCAGAGGTTTGGCATCGTGTGTTCGGGCGCAGGGATGATAATTCAATTGGTGTCACCATCTTGAAACACCGACTTCGGTGGCTTGGACATGTTTTACGAATGTCGTCCTAGAGACTTCCACGTCGTGCATTATTTGCCGACTCTGGGACTGGTTGGAAAAAGCGGAGAGGAGGTCAGTGTATGACATGGTGTCGTGGCATGAAAGAAAGCTGCAAAGGGTTAGCTTCTGTTGGTCCTTCACGACTCCCTGGTTGGGGTCCGAGAGATGGTGCAACACAGTGGCTAGAGACGTTATCAGATATGGCTCAGAATAGAAGCCAGTGGCGATCCTGCTGCAACCTTCTTTTACTTTCTACATAAAGAATGGTTCTAACTTTCTTAACTGAAAGAGTCTTCTGGTTGTACATTTCAGTCCGCCTTATCTTTTCATCCCTTCTCTCTCTACTTTCATTATTTTATGTGGCGCATATGTATCTGGTGCCTTTTTGTACCAATATATATGTGTTTAAATAAATAAATAACGTGCCTGGAATTTGTGATATCTGTGAATGGTCCAATAATAAACGCAATCAACCCTTCGTATTCGCCTTCTGATTTTTACACCGTTAGGACGTTACAGAGTAACGGTTATCAGGACGAACAATATACGAAGTTTATGGATAATATCGAATATCGACCACCACAAGAATAATTAGTATTTCATATTATGGGGTTCAGTAGTGAAATTCGTTGCATTTCCAATCGTGATTCACCTCAACATCTATTATGTTGAACTTTTCAAAGGTTGATGCTAATACTTCTAAGATGTGAGGAAACGACATGAAATCCATATACGAAGTCACTCTGTTAGTGTGAGCTGTGTCAGGTGAAAAATGTACCGAATGCACTGCAAATATTTGGAATATTTGTTACGGCATTTCAGATACGTTAACTAAATAATCTTGGTAAAAACGCTTCTTATACTTTGTATTGTCTCAACTTAGCAACGCTACCCATGGTAAATACACCAGTTGACAAGTCACAATAACAACCGATTTCGTTCCCAACTATCTCATGTGGTAAACATTGTATTTTGTCCACCTACTTTAGTCATTCTAATATAGACATCTATCCAGTTAATAATGTGTCTAATTTTTGTCATCTTACATTTGATTAAAAAGTTATACCATGACTTGTGTGTATCCTCTTTTAGTATATTCCATATTCCTGTCAAAAATAACAACACTGAAAATATTCAACTCAAAAATAAGACCACATAACTCATGCTTATTTTATTGGTTAGTTGTCTTCTGTTTGACTTCCAATAATACCACATGGACAAAGGTTTAGTTAGTCGCATAACGTCAACATACTATAGTAATACAATTCAGAACTTGAAGTTTCAGTCTAATGTTCAATTTTGGTTTTGCAGTCATATAATCCATGTTTCTACCCACTAGTTAGATGCTTTACTTTCATCATACAAAAATCGTCAAGGTTTTTTAAAACTTTTGTTATTTTGACTTTTAGATCGCCCGTATCGCTGAGGACTTGGGTCAGCATTTACCCAATCTCTTGACCCTTATCCTAACTAGTAATTACCTCTCTGACCTCAAAGATTTGGATCCCCTATCATCATGTGATAAATTAAATTTTCTAAGTCTTCTTCATTGTCCTGTAACAATGCGAGCAAATTACCGACTATATGTTATCAGCCGCGTCGCATCTGTAAGTTAAATAGTTTTACTGGACCTGTTTATCATAGTTTTGTAAAATACTATAATAACCATGAACTCATTTATTTTTCCCGACCGTTGCTGCTACCTTGACGTAGTGGTCAGGCTTGCCTATTGTGATGAGCCAATCGAACTATACTGGCTGGAACAATCGTTCCTCAAGGTCCTATTGTGTCGGACAGGTCGGTTAAAGAGCAGTAAGACCATAGGCAGCAAACCCAAGGTCCGAAGGCGAAGTCGTACTGCTGACTGTACAGAGGTGTGACGGCGGTAAGATGTTTCCTTCAGACAACCAGTATAACAGCTATGCTGCGTTCCCACAAGGAGGGTTGGGGTTAGAAAAAGTCTTCATTATAGACCTATTGCTGGAAATAACACTCTCGTCGACTGAATTTTCAGGAATTGATTTCTACTAGGGGCTCCACTAAGCGACTTAGAATACGCAGATGACAGTCCTGTTTGGTGAAAATGCTGGCAAAATGCAGTCTTCTGTTGGAACTGAGTAATAATGCCAGGATGTTTGGGATGCATTTCTCCCCATCCAAATGTAAATTGTTACTCCAGGACTGGCCTGTGTCAACACCTGAACTAAGGATAGGGAACGAAGTAGTCGAACGCGTCGACAACTTCACTTATCTTGGAAGTCTGATCGGCCCTAATAAGTTGGTGTCTGACGAAATCTCAGCACGGATTCAAAAAGCTCGTTTGGCTTTTGCCAACTTACTTAATCTATGGCTAAGGCGAGATATCCGTCTATCAATTAAGGGACGAGTATACTGCGCAGCAGTTCGTTCTGTTCTACTTTACGGCTGTGAAATGTGGCTATTGAGAGTAGGGGATGCTCGTAAGTTACTAGTATTTGATCACAGATGCCTTAGAAATATTGCTCGCATCTACTGGGATCACCGGGTAAGCAATGGTGAGGTTAGACACAGGGTATTAGGGGATGATGGTAAATAAGTTGATGAGGTTGTGAATCTTTCATCAACTGAGATGGTTGGGCCGTGTTATGTATGCCTGAACACCGATTAGTATTAGGGATGTTTGGAAGAGAGTTAGGGACGTGGAAACGAAAACGTGACATCAGTGCTTGAAGTCACTAACTTCTAATCTCGTCAGTCAGTCAGCGACAACGTAGGACCAGGCACATATATGCATCAGTTCAAGTTGCCATACCTCGTTAGCACAACAAGATGAACACCAAATTCATAGAAGTAATTAATTTAGTGGTGGTAGTATATAAAGAAAGGTTGTATATAGGGATATAGTATAGTAAGGAAAAAAGTTATGAAGCAATTTTAATCTCAAGGTTTAAGGAAAGATAAAGAGTGTATACACCTACGCCATTGTGATCGATTCTGAGCCATGTCACTCAGAGTCTCCAACCATTGGTTACGATAGTCACGCGGACCCCAACCAGGTAGTCTGCATCTACCAACATGGCTCAGACCAGAAGTTAGTGACTTTAAGCACTGATGCCATGTTTTGGTTTGGCCGCCCCTAACTCTCTTCCAACCATCCCCTACACTAGTCAACATTGCGCGTCGTGGTAATCGGTGTTCAGGCAGACGTAACACATGGCCCAACCATTTCATTCGATGAAGATTCATCACCTCATCAACTGATTTACCATCATTCCCTAATACCCTGCGTTTAACCTCACTATTACTTACCCGGTTATCCCAGTAGATGCGAGCAATATTTCTAAGGCATCTGTGATCAAATACTAGTAACTTACGAGCATCCCCTACTCTCAATAGCCACATTTCACAGCCGTAAAGTAGAACAGAACGAACTGCTGCGCAGTATACTCGTCCCTTAATTGATAGACGGATATCTCGCCTTAGCCATAGATTAAGTAAGTTGGCAAAAGCCAAACGAGCTTTTTGAATCCGTGCTGAGATTTCGTCAGACACCAACTTATTAGGGCCGATCAGACTTCCAAGATAAGTGAAGTTGTCGACGCGTTCGACTACTTCGTTCCCTATCCTTAGTTCAGGTGTTGACACAGGCCAGTCCTGGAGTAACAATTTACATTTGGATGGGGAGAAATGCATCCCAAACATCCTGGCATTATTACTCAGTTCCAACAGAAGACTGCATTTTGCCAGCATTTTCACCAAACAGGACTGTCATCTGCGTATTCTAAGTCGCTTAGTGGAGCCCCTAGTAGAAATCGATTCCTGAAAATTCAGTTGACTAGCAACAGGTCTATAATGAAGTTAAACAAAAATGGGGATAGTGGACAGCCTTGACGGACACCTTGAGGTTGTAAAATCATATGACAGTTCGCCATAAGCTCTCACTCGACTGGTAGTGTTCGAGTAAAGAGCCTTCACAAAGTTTATGTACTTCTCAGGTACACCTTTCAATGACAGACACTGACACAGAACCTCTCGGTCTACAGAGTAAAATGCTACTTTCAAGTCAAGAAAAACTATCGTTGTCGGACGCTGATAAGCATGTCTGTGCTCTAAAACTTGACGAATGGTGAGTAAGTGGTCGATACAGCCACGACCAGGTCTGAAGCCAGCCTGATTTTTTCGTGCTTGGAGTTCACGAGTCTTAGTTAGGCGCCCGATAATTATTGAGGCTAGTATTTTAGACACTATGTTAGTCAGACTAATCCCTCTATGGTTATCGCAGGATGATTTTTGCCCCTTATATATTGGGACAATCAGAGATTGTGACCAGTCAGATGGGATTACATCCGTCTCCCAGATTTTAGCCAGAATATTAGTCAACCTAATTGCTAAAATTGGACCACCATATTTGAAGACCTCTGGGGCCAATCCATCTGGACCAGCTGCTCTTCCTCGTTTCAGATTACTTGTAGCCTTTTTAACTTCAAGTAGGGTCGGGGGGCCTACTTCAATGTTCCATTCAGACTGTCTGGGAATAGTGGGTAGTTGTGCAGTAGCTGAAGGCCAGCTAAACTGCTCCTTAAAGTGTTCCGCCCATCGTTCTAAACGTTTGGGTTGAGAGCAGGTAGGGGTTCCATCTTTTTCCGAGATTTTCTCACACTTGACTTCTTAATTCCGGTTTCTTTTATTAGTTTGAATAGTTGCCTGGTGTTCCCTACAGCCGCTGCCTTTTCCATCTCTTTTGCTTTCGTTGCCCACCACTGCTCACGATCGTTCCTTAGACTTTTAGTTAACCTAGATCTAATTTCTTTACGCTCTTCGTCGTGTTCAGAGCCTGATGGGATGAGTTTACGCGAATCCATCAGTGAAATAGACTTAGAAGAAATCCACTGGTTTTTTGGAGCCCTATTATTTACATAACTAATAGATGTTACGGCTGTTTCCACAGCTGTTTGTGTGTCTTTCCAAGCAGCATCTGTATCAGTCTCGTTTACAGAACTGCCTATATGTGAACTTAGTTGTTTCTGGAATTCGCATTTGGCTTTCTCGTCCTCCAGTTCAATCCTAATGGGTCTTCTTAGTGTACTTTTCCTGCGTCCAGTGAGGCGCAGACAAATGCGCGCTCGTATTAAAGCGTGATCAGAGTCTAAACAAGTATTCCAATACGAGCGACAATCTTCTATTGAGCCTCTCCAACGATGACTGATGACAATATGGTCTATTTGAGTCTATCGTTGGTTTGGTGCAGGTGGTCGCCATGTTAGACGATGTCTTTCCTTATGTTTAAAATTAGTGCTTGCTAAAAATAAACGATTGTCTGAGCATAGTTGCAACAGACGATCACCATTATCGGTTCGTTGAGCCGGAATACTAAAACACCCACCTAAATGTCTTTTGTTTGATTTAAGCTGCCTACCTGGGCATTAAAGTCACCCGCTACGACTACTATGTCTGAGCGCTTAGCTTTCTGAAGAAGCTCAGAGAGTTCTCTGTAAAAGTCATCTTTTACTTCATCATGGCTGCAGTCAGTGGGAGCGTAGGCAGAAACGACGAAAAGGCAACGACGTGTGTCCCTATCCTTCTGAGTTCTTACGGAGCCATTTAGCCGGACAACACACAGGCGACTGTTAACGGGGATCCACTCTAGTAGTGCCTGTTCTGCCCTTGTACGTAGTGCTATGCCTACACCTGCGAGTCCACAAGAACTAGCCAACGGGTCGCCAGATACACGGAGGGTGTATTTCGTTGGCTGTCCATTTTGGCGAGGTGAGGTCAAGTGAATGACCACACTAGGATCCTGTATGCGTGTTTCGGAGACACAGCATACATCAATGATACGACATTCTAGGGTTTTAGCTAAGGAGGCCTGTTGACCGATTTGACTTAGGATACGTACGTTGAAGGTTCCAATGTGTAGTTTGGAGCGAGGTTTTAGTAGACCTGGGACAGCGTTTCGCGCACTAGAATCGTTGGCCATGGTGACACTTGAGGAGGAAATCGGAGGAGGAAGTTTAGTGTTGAAAGTCAAGGTAGAAGGAATAGTAGGAATTAAAGAAGTAGATTGATTATGAATACAGTGGTCTTGAGTGCTGTTAGAGGTATGAGGGCAGTTATCACTTCCCGATTGCCCACACCGTGGAAGGGTTCTTCTGGGGTACCTAAAAAGGAAATTGGGTTAGAAGTGGTCTTAATAACCTGAGAGCGTGACCGCAGTGTCCAAGGGACAACTGCTTGAGGTCGGTCACACACGACCTTTTTGTGGGTAGTTTTTGTGTTAGCTCCGTACTTGTTAGGACCTTATCGCCGGAGACGGAAATCCGTGGGATAAGGCGAAGTGTGCATTTTTAGGGTCAACCTTTTCCTACCCCACCTCTTCTTGTGGGAAGGCAGCATAGCTGTTATACTGGTTGTCTGAAGGAAACATCTTACCGCCGTCACACCTCTGTACAGTCAGCAGTACGACTTCGCCTTCGGACCTTGGGTTTGCTGCTTTTAGTCTCACCGCTCTTCAAACGATCTGCCTGGCATGGTAGGACCTTGAGGAACGATTGTTCCAGCCAGTATAGCTCCATTGAATCATCACAATAGGCAAGCCAGACCACCACGTCAAGGTAGCAGCAACGGTCGGGAACTTCTAGTCTGAGCCATGTTGGCAGATGCAGACTACCTGGTTGGGGTCTGCGTGACTATCGTGACCAATAGTTGGAGACTGTGTGGTCGAGTTGGAGCCTATGGCGAACTGTCACCAGAACTGATTACCACAAGTGGCGTTCGTCAGGGCTGTCCACTCTCCCCATTCTTGTTTAACTTTGTCATTGACATACTATTAGAAATAGCACTTTCATCAGCTAAACCTCCGGGAGTTGAACTTTTACCAGGAGGCTCACTTGTTGACTTAGAATACGCCGACGACATAGTTTTACTCGGTGAAGGCGCTGACAACATGCAGAGTCTTCTGACCACTATAAGCAACTATGCAGGCATGTTCGGAATGCGATTCTCTCCCTCGAAGTGCAAAATGTTACTTCAGGATTGGGTTGCATCGACACCTGAACTAATAATAGGGAGTGAAGTAGTTGAGCGTGTAGACCACTTCACTTATCTTGGGAGTCTCATCAGCCCTTGTGGTCTGGTGTGTGACGAAATCTCAGCACGGATACAGAAGACTCGTCTAGCTTTCGCCAACTTGCGTCACTTATGGCGTAGGCGAGATATCCGTCTAGCAACCAAAGGACGGGTTTACTGTGCAGCAGTTCGTTCTGTCCTACTTTATGGCAGGGAAACATGGCCGGTAAGAGTAGAGGATATTCGTAGGCAACTAGTGTTCGATCATAGGTGTCTTCGAAGCATTGCTCGTATATCCTGGGACCACCGGGTAACTAATGCAGTTGTTAGGAAACGAGTACTAGGTAGGGATGGCAAATCGATTGATGAAGTAGTGAAACTTCATCAGTTGAGATGGCTGGGACATGTGTTACGTATGCCCGACCACCAACTGCCCCGACGTGCAATGTTTCATGGTGTAGGAGTAGGTTGGAAGAAAGCTAGGGGTGGCCAGACCAAAACGTGGCAGAAATCAATGAAGTCACTGACAAGTGGACTGGGCATGTTGGTAGGTGTAGACTACCTGGTTGGGATTCGCGAGATGACAGCAACCGATGGTTAGAGACCTTGAATGACATGGCTCAAAATCGTTTGCACTGGCGAAGGTGCATCCACTCTTTGTGTTCTACGAAATTCTAATCTTCTGAATTCCTCATGTCTTTATATTTTTCTCTTTCCAAATTTATTTCACTGTACTATACTCCTTCAATAATTTCTTCAAACCCTAATCTTTTGGATTTCTGATTATACTCTTACTACTTCTACCACTATGGAATTTGAATCGACAACTGCATCTCTGTGCTAATGTGGTATGGCAACTCGAACTGATGTACGTACGTACGAAGTTCTACGTTGTGACTGACTGACTGTGTGACATGGCTCAGAACCGATCACAATGGCGTACGTATGTGCACTCTGTCTTCACTTAAACTGTGAGAGTAAAGTTGCTTCGTATATCTCTTTATGTATATTTCTTTCTTTTATGTAGTATCACTATTGAATTAACTACTATGGATTCGGTGTTCATCTTGTTAAGCTAATGAGGTGTGGTAACTTGGTCCGATGCATATATGTGCCTAGTTCTATGTTGTAGCTGACTGATTGACATTTATTTTCAGTTTATAAATTAATCGCCACGTAAACTGTAGCCTGTTTACTTCAATATATGCTTATCATTTCGAAATGCATGTGTAATTGTACGTATAAAAAGATTGTTGATTCTGTAACGTCGTCTAAGTTGATATCCAGTCACTGGGTTACTCAAAATTTGTTCATACCCTAGCCCATGTAGATAAATACTGAGTTGCACTTATTTTATTTTTGAATCATTCAGTAAATATTTTTAGAGAATCAATCGTGTTTCTTGATGCTCAAAAATCAATTCATTGAGATTAGGTTTAATTTATGATAGGATATTTGACTATCAAATATCCAAAACACTTGACCTTAATTAGTAATATTGATATGTTTGTCAAAGCAGCAATGTTACCGGTGTGTAGATCACTTACAGCTCCTGTAATGAATTTTTCTGTTACGTGTCTTGCAGTTTATTTAAACAGTTTCAGCATGATACATAAATAAATTCCATTGGACTGAGTGAAATATAATTATATCTAAGAATTTATTTCAAATATGCTGTTGCTAAGTACTCCATAATTATTTTTATGATCATGTTGCTTTTACCAGACTTAACTTGAGTTTTCATGTGTAATGTAACCCTAAATATTAAGCTTGGAACTGTTTATAAATTTTCGTAACACGAATTTTAACGGTTGAGTATGTAATATGTCATCGTCCTCTCTACGCTTCGCTGGACATTTTATTTAGTTGATTTAAAGAAAAAATAACACTATCATCCACACTTTGTCATTGTTGTTTCTATAGTACTCCGAATGTATTCAAGTTATTCAGTGTTTAAAATATAATCTAAAAAATTTTCTTTATACGTTTTCTTTTTTTCCATTCTTAGCTTCGCTTTTTAGATTATCGTCGTGTTACCCAAGCTGAACGTAAACTAGCTCGATCAATGTTTAAACGTCTTCCTGCTCTATCAAACAGCGTAAATAATCTAAAAGCACCATATCAGAAAGCGAATTCTAATCGTGTAGAAAACTCAATTCATGCTGCTGGTGTTGTTAAAACATTTATTCCTGGTGCTCCAATTAATTCAAATAATCTTCTCCCTCCTGGAACTGAGCCAACAAGATCTAGTAATGAACAGATTCACCATGGGGAAGGCAAAGAAAACAATGCCGCTGCCCTAAATACATCCGTCGAAACCGATCAGACTGAGTCAACCAAGTCTGATACCTTGATAGTCAGTTCAGCTGACACTCCTATGCCTCCACCGTCAACTCCTGTCACCACAGGAAATAAACGCCCAGGTTAGTTGTAAAACCACTAGTATGATTGTTATTATAGTTAACCTGGTTTTTCCTTCTATTATCCTTATGATATGTAATTATTTATGAACCTGTATCTGTTTAGATGGAAACATTTGCTACACATAGCTAGTCAAAACACCCCAATGTAAGATTTTAACTGATGTAAAGGAAAATAGAGAACGTCCTACTTTTGTAGCATTAACGTAGTACCAACTTACGAACTCCTGGGAATTTTGTACTGCAAGTTGATGCCAATGAGTTGTTCAAAAAATCATAGTCGAAAAACATGGATAACAACTGGAAGTTTGTGTCACTACTACGTAGTGGTTAAGTCTTTTATTGTGAATTGTAACTGTTGGTCTGTACATGTTTCAGTGCGCCACACTTTCATTCAGATATAATGATTACGTCACTGTCAAGGTCTCTACTTCATTCAAATCAGTCATGATATTTAGTTGTAAGGAAAGGAAATGACCCAAGCTCTGTTTCAACCAACCTATAATTTAATCCAAATATTCTGTTCACAGCATTGAATTGAATACAAACATATAGTCAGTTAAATATTTTCAATTTGTGCATGTTAATTTTTAATGCCATATTTGTAGTATTCTTGTCTGTTAAGTCGTAAGGTATCTCACCGGTGATATCGACAGGTTAAAAAGATAAGGGGTAATCAAACACTTATTCCCTTAACGGTTTTTCTAGTCACGTATCCGCTAAAATAGATTCAAAGCTTAAACTCGTCTCAGTTCTTTTTATTAAAATAGTTGTTGATACAAGAAAGTCAGTCGTAATACTTCCTAATTAATTTCACATTTGTAATCACGATTCGATCTAAGCTAGACCACCATTGAAAAAAGCTTAAATCGACTCGTGATCTCAACCGTGAACATACCACAATCTCTACAAATCTTCCATACTGATTCTTAGTTATTGTTCAGAGCATTTAGAAAGCGTTTCGTCGACGTCTTTACTCAATAATCCCATGTTATCTATGTACACAAATGATTTTGGATAGAAGAAGAATAGTTTCATTAAGGTTCTGGTTGAAAAGAATATGTTTATATAAATCAAGTTTTGTGGTCTCAAATGTGGATGACAAATCGGGACGCAAATGTCTGAATTCGAGTGCAGAGACTTTAGTAAATAAGAAAATTAACTCATGTGGTTAGTTCTTGGGTTATGAGTCACGCTCCAAGTATGGCGGCTGACGATACATCTCAATTGCTCAAACCGAAGAAAGCGAAGCACGATTTGGACTTGAAACCCAATAGCCAAAAGTTGAACGCTCTAACTACTTATCCACCGCTCAACTTCAGCGATATATTGAATATTCTACTATTGATTTTCGAATAGACATTTTTATGATCTTTATTGTCGCAATCATGTCCTACTTTTTTAACAAAGATTACGCTTATAAGAAATAGGGATGCATCTAGTATATCATCCGCTATGGTTTTAAACATTAGTAGTTGTGTGTGTGACTGCATTGGTTGGTTCTGTCATAAAAGATTAACGTAAAAAATCAATTGGTTCTATTTTGGTGACCAAAGTTTGTCTTCTGACTGTTGTTTATACGTAACTCAAACTAATATTACTTGTTTTACCAAGTATGCGGGTTTGTAATACATCGCTATAAACATGGCTGTTTTATGTTAGACTGTCCATAACCCATCTCAGCTTTCTTATTGCTATCAGTTTTTCCATATGACATTCACCTCTTGTGCTATTTTGTATGGTCGTTCGATGTACTATTCTATTCTGTTTGTTAAATTTCAGTTGCATCAAGTCAAGATCTATTTGCAATCCAGGAAGCAATTAAACGAGCGCGAACTATGGACGAAGTGGAACGTCTTCATCAGTTGCTAAGTAGTGGTCAGTTTGCAGGATTCGCAGCTCAGTGGCAGAAACAATTAAGGCAGCAACAACAACAGAAGTCCTCTCAGTAATCACCATATATAAATATTCATATGGGGGACAGAAAATCCGTCTATCGACAAAATTTTCAGCGACTCTGTGTAAAGACTGTACTATAATATGTTTGTATGCATACTTTTAACTGTTATGTAAGTATGGTGCAATTAATCTCAAGTAAATATTTTATTTTACTAGCAAAAAATGCATTGGTTTTTGTTAATTAATAGGGTGGTTCTATCTTAGGTTTGTTGAAAATAGTCTCATATGTAATGTAGAAAAAGGCAAGATAGGCAGTTGAAATGAATATTGTGAGAGATCACAAAGTGCTTGCATAACGCGTTTACATAGTCTTCGATCATCCGTTAGCGTCTTGCAGTGTGTTCTACAATCCGGCCTGTCTGATCTTCAAGTGTTCTACCTACGCCGGGCTTTTGGTATGCTAAAAATGTTTTCTACTTCTGACAAGTGTGACAGATTTGAGGTCACGTTCCGCTACATACTACTTACAAACAATCTTGTGAGTGGTGTCGATCACAGTAGTAGTGGTAGATGAATGGATAGTTTAAATTAAGAAATATGTTATCGTTCTGCAAATCCAATTATTTCCTTATCTTGTCAATAGTATATAGTTCATTTCTTACTTTTTACTCTTTAAATTAGTATCGTTTTTTGGTTAATCACCTTATCCTAAATTTTTGAAATATGGAAAAATGAATTGTTACATAATCATGCTAGGTTGGATATCTATCTTTATGCCGTGTTAGAGGCAACAATTCCTTAACAGTAGGTGTTTATCGTTATCATGTTACGCCGTGAGGTGGAAGCTTCATTACGTTGCTCGCATATAGAGGAATCACAGGAACGATGTTGCTTGAGGTTAAGCGTTCTTTTCCAGTATATATTATTCCCCCCCTCTATCTTTTCAATTTAACTCGTGCTAATGTGACAGTTTACGTCTCATGTATTTAATAACTTCGGAAATACTGTAGTTCAGTAGTTTTTGTATTAATAATTCGCACTGCGACATTAAAAATGTAATTTGAGTGTGGAAATGTCTCTAATTAATTTTGCAATTAAGTAACACAAAATATAATGCAGATTAAATGGAGGTGGGTCAGTTTAGTTACATATCTTAATAGTAATCGATAAGGTACACAACAGATAACAAAAGTCAACATTAAAGTGAAATTACATAGTCGATTAATTATCATGACTAGTTAAATAACAGTGGAAATAGTAACTGAGTAAACTTGAAATTAAACAGTTGAATACAAATGTTCGATGTTACTCGTAAAATTAATAATAAGTAGTTAATGGGACAGGTGCAAAGAAAATTGGATTACCGGATCATCATGTAAGAAAAGAATTAGAAAACAAAATTAAAGGGTCTGGAGAAAATTAGGGGTGAGTGTACTGAAGGTCATGGTAAACTGAGAGGTCGTACAAACGTTTTCTGTATACAAAGACTAGATTTATTGATGTGTATTCCGCTGTGTTGTAACCGGATTTGATGCACGAGATAAATTCGAAGAATTCTGTGGATAACTCCAACGGCTGAATTTACATTCATGTAGTGTCCAAATATCAAACCAAGTGCTTCAGAATAGAACTTTTGGTTGTTTTTTAGTCATGTGGTCAACCACAAAAGGTGATGTCCCGAAATTTAATGATGTTTTCGCCTGGTTATACACCCAATATAGCTGACTCCATAAGCGCTATTGAAAGTGTTAATACGAGGTAGAGCCTGTGAAACTAGTCAGTTTACTCTTATTCTGTGAACACAATATCGGTTGATTGAAAAAAGGAACGAATAATCTTGTTGCATTGAATGAACGCTCTGCAGTTTTTCTTGTACGTCAGAACATTATTCCACCTATTATGTCAAGTTTAAGCTATAATTTCAGGAGTAAAGGTGTGTTTGATGCTGTTGGTGATTTCACTTCACCTTCAGTTTCTGTTTTGCCAGGAACTTTGATGAGTGCATGCATCTTTGCTTGGTAAATCATGGATAAGTTTTGATTCTTTAAGGATATCATCAGAGCAGGTTATTTTAACTGTTTTAGCCAAACATTTGACAAGGTTTCTCTTATATTATAATGAGATACAAGCTGAAAATGTGTACGTTGTGTTTGTGTAGCCGACTTACGATGGACATTTCTTTTTGTTGTCGCGTCAGTTTTCGTTGACAAAACGTATAGAAAGGATGTGTCGCAGTTTTCTTCCTTTATGAAAATGATCGCTTGATGTACTGTTAACGGTTTTCAGTAGGTTGTTAGCTTCGGTCTTATTATTTGGATTTTGTTGAATTATTACTTACGTCTGTTACCCCTCGTCAAGGAGCATGGGCCGCTCACCAGCACTTTGTTGAAGTATATCATTAGTTAATTGACTGTATTTGACTATTATGAGTGATTGACCTCTATATTCGCAACCATGAATAAAGTGTGTATGTACAACCCTGTTGAAGTTGTATGCCATGAACTGGGTAGTTTGATTGTTAAGCCTTCATCGTATTTCTAGAAATCATGATATACTGTAGAAGGAAGTTACCCATAAGGATCTCTCCGAAAGTAACTAGCGGTTTATCCTGTCGATATTGAGTCTGATTGGTTACTGTTCTTCACGATCTAAAATATATGAAAGTCATGAATCAAGAAAGCTTTATAATATTTACTTTCGCTTTGTGTAATATTTCTATTCAGCGTTACCTCTCCATGGTTGATTCAGCATATGTCCTCTTGGGGAGAGCAGTTTACTATCATATTCTAATTAGTTCTTTTTCTTGCACGTCCGACCGATGAGTTCTAAGTAGAATCAAACGGCTATCCTAGATCCCGCTGCTTGTCACCATTGCTGATAATTCTACATTCGACTCTTTTATGATTACTGATAGTCACATGTATGAGTCCCATTAAACATTTGGTTCGAAAAGTGATTACAAATTTTAATAGGCTATGATACGGTAGAACAACTTTTTCTTCCCTATGTAAGCCTTTTTAGGTTTAGCCACTCGTAACCCTTTGGGTAGTTGACATTTTCAACTTTAGTCAATCCATCGTGGATAATTCAACTATCACCCATCACTTATAGTGATAAATACACTCATGATACGGTTTTACTCCACCTGTTGTTAAAACTTTCAGTCTATTCATTAATAAAATTCGTCTTTTTGATATGAGATAACAAAACTGAGAAATATTTGAAAACTTCAGTTGGTGCAGATTTATGTTGTATTTAACTACTCAATAGTTTTCTTAATCATTGTTTCAATTCGACCCAAATTCTTAGTGTAATGGCTTGTGATTCAATCTGGACATAAAAATCATAGTAGGTGGGGTGGGTTTTAGACTTCCGGCAGATGTATGATATACAGGAAAGCGCTTTGGCAATTGTTAATTCGACCTTGATGAATTCAATTCTTTTGTTAGTCATTCAGGAAACAGTCATTGTAAATCAATTGCTCATAGAAAAGGGCAGGAATAATAAACAATACACAAATTTTATATGGGGAAAATATAATCTGATGAACCATTCAAATTTGAGATAGTAACCACTGGATTTTCGCGCGAAATTCAAAACCTGATGACGGGTAGTGTGTATTTTAGTAAACACTAGGTTAAACCCACTCGTATTCAGTTACTAGGATTCCTGAAGTTTATAAAATGAGGTCAAAGTACGAAAACCATAGTGTTATATCCAAAAGAGAACAAATTAATGGTAACCGTTAAAAATCATTATTCTCAATCTATTGATTACGGTTTCTCACAATCACAGCCACTTTTGACTTGATCTTGTACAAATGTTACTTTTTTTATTTTATGGTGTGATGTGGTCTGATTTCGCTTGTATATAGATCAAGTAAGTTTGAAATATGTGATTCGTATCACGGAATCTGAGATTGGCGTTCTGGACTTAACAGGTAGGGCTAGGTGGTAAAATGACCAATCAGAACTCTAGGCTACCTGTACTTCTGTATTCGTCATTAATTTGGTCATATAGATTAGCGTATCTAAATTGGCAATCGTATTTCATGATAATTGTATAGCTAACGACATAACACTTAATTTATAAAATTTCGGAAGTAACTTAAATATTCCTGATGCTTAAAATCAAATAACTAACTCCTTAAGTTTTCATCCAATTATCTACAAAATATTCTTTTACTTATTGCCAACCTTATAGAGGAATTTTAAGCTATGAATCATTAATTTATATAAATTACATTCTTATAAGCCGAAAATTAGTATTACTTCAAGGTCGTTTCAGGGGTCTCTTGTTATATACTAGGAAAAAAGTAAGTACTAATCACTTACGGGACCTCTTATTAGACTATTAATCTATTTATATTCCTATGGTATAACTATTCAGTAACTGGATTATCTATATTCATCTTATTGTAAGCTTCATTTTGACCTATTGATTATTATTATATGATTTATTGTTCCTAAATTATACTCGCTTTATTGAGTACTGTCTCCCACGCTTCCAGCCACGTTTGGCTTGATTTTGTACAAATATTATTTTCTATTTTATGGTGTGGTGTGGTCTGCCTGTTTGGTATATAGACAAAGCATGTTTGAAATAAACGATTCGCATTACAACAGCTGCTATTGGTGTTTTGGACTCAAGTGGATGGGTTAGGCGAATAAGGACGCTAGATTACTCGTATTAATCGAACGTCATTGTCACAGTGTGAAGGTCGTAGAAGGCGTATTCTATTGGTGGATAATTTACGCGGATTACGTCCTTGTTAAATTCGTAAGGTCATAACAAATCAGAGACGACCTTGATCAAGTCATAACAATTGTCTACAGCCTAGGTCAAATACATAACATCTCTGAGGCTCATCATTAAAGTATACTTATACCTTTACATGAATAATAAGTTTATTGAAGATTCCTATTGGTTTTTCTGTCTTTAAGTTAGGAAACAGCAACACATAAATCTATCCTTATGACAAAAAACATCTGTTTTCTCAAACTGTTATGAGGCCGCGAATAATGCAGTGAACAAGAAGACGAGTGGGGACAACCGAATGTATTTGACACGAAAATTAAAGACTATCTCACTAAAATCTGACAACCATGCAGTAATTAGTTAATTTGCAAACTACCAATTGTCTCAATCTTGAACGTTCATTCTGCAAATATCAGTGCATCCTCTCCAATTATTATTGTTCATGCATTTTCATACCGATTGCGTTTCGTTCCCGTTCTTTCCTTATCGATCTTCTAATAAAATATATTTAATGCCCGACCATCGTCATATACTACTTATGTGGTTATAAGTAACCTATACCACAATTGTTTTTTAAGTGTCCCCTAACTGTGACTGGTTAGGGTTTTAAACACTATGCAAAAAATAGCTATTTCTGTTGGTCATTTCATGTGACATATAAAATTTTACATTTTTGAATTCCATGCAAAATGTGTAAATCGTTTACCCGATTCTAATCAGCTTATCTCTACACTATATTTCTTACTGAACTGCCATCGTATTAGTTAAAGATTGAGTGCTTTCAACTACTTCATTATTACTCAACGAATCATCAGGGCGGCGGGACTAAACTTTATGGACGAGGCAATCAGAAGCTTTCGCGGGTTTTCAAGGTCACGGCGCTAAGTTCGGTGCCTGATGCTTACGTACGATCGGTCTACAGTGGATTTTAGAATAGACGTGATAATTCAGCGTCTACAAGAGAAAGGATTATTAAGAAGTTTCTATACTTGTGACTGTGGTACTCAAATGACTTTTTCGCTCGATCACGACTAAGGTTAAGACCCTAACCCTAACATTTCCAACGAGTTAGGAACCGACAGGCACCAACAATAAGAATTTTTGAGACTTTATCATGGCTCCAGAGGCCGACTACTATGGAGCCATATGGATGAGTTCCTGTACCGTATGCACTATGATTTTAGAACTTCTGAACCTATATCTGACCTTGAGAAGTTTTTGAGCCATGTAAAAGAACAGTATCCACTTTAATTTTTTAGTTTTGTATAAGATATTTTTACTGTATACTAACTGCCTTCTGATTGGCTAATATTTCTCAAGGTCATTTAAGATTCGTTCAAAGGTCGTCCATAAAGTATAATCTCGCCCATTTATTTATTTAACCACATAAATGTTAGTACAAAGGGGCACCAGATACATATGCTTCATGCGAATCTCATTTGATTTGTGTGAGGGCTGTGATATTGTCCGGGTGCCCAAACCGAAGCAGGTGAATAAGTCAACAACCATTCAATTACAATATTATCATGATTAAGAGTAATGTAAAGAATAAATTATTCTATTGAAATTGCATTCATTTCAAATCAAACATGTTGATAAATGTACAATATTCGATATACATATAATATATAGTGAAATTTATTGAATTAATGACTTCATAGTTAACTAATATTTATAACACTCAATGAATAATAACCTATACTACTCATAATAAAAATCAGATAGAATTAATCATTTCAAGTTTTATGGATTAAAATGAATATTTAACTTGTAATTGTCAATAAGTTCATTCAGTGAACATTAAACCATCTTAAATTCACTTAGTATTGATTTGTTTGAATCTCCCGATTGATGTTTTAAGGACTGTAACTGGTCAGTCTCTAATTGGCATATGTGCATACTGTGCGTATTGCCTCGATATATCCTTAATTCACATCCATTGTAAGCAAAGATGGATAGTGGCTAGCACCACTTTGATTAATGAAAGACCAGTAATATTATTTGACTTTTTTGTATCATTTTTGACTTACAATTAGATGTTTAAATCATTACTAGTTATAGTCATTATATGTGAAAAGTATATTTAATATAATCTCAACGATTAAAATTCAAATAATTCCAACGTTTCATCCAGGTAACTTGTTTGAACTTCTTCAGAGTAATAATCAAAATCATCAAAGAAGAAGTCCAAACAATCTAACTGGACTAAACGTTGGAATTATTGAAATTGTAATCACTGAGATTATTTCAAATATAATTTTCACATATAATGACTTCTGTATACTGTGTGCCAAATTTTTGTCAAGCTATTCGTTCTAATCTTGATAAATATTCGTATAAATTGTTAGTAATAGTTTAAAATATTCCAAATCCTACAAAACGCTACACCTGGATTCCACTGTTAGCCATAATCTATTTATTGTAGAAACTTAAGTTAGGTAAATTGAGACCATTCATATAATACAGTTTCACATAGAATTATGTATGATAATTATCACTTTGTAGAATACATTCCTAATGAAAATCTGTGATTAAATCTAGTATCAAATTTATCAATGTTATGGAAATTTTTGGATTTCATAGTTTACATCACAGCCTGACTTGAGTGAGATAACTATTAAAAACCAGAAAATATTAGACGAATCTTCTGGGAGTGCACATCCATAACTTCTTTAGGAACCAAATCTGTGATTTGCAAACCTTACGATAAGAGATTTAATTTCACACTATCTAATCGATAACCGATTGTTTGTATTTCTCACTTCCATTTAGTCAAGATATTTTAGGTAACCGTCATTCATAGCTACCGATAATATTTATCACACATCTGATAGGTTTGAATGTTACATGTTTGTCCGTAAACCATAAGTTTATAACTCGAATATCTTAAATCTACTGTATTATGTAATTGTTTTACCATTTAAAGTGATGACGTATGACTGATCATTTCAAATATAATGGTTTATTCATTTCTTGTTTGAAGTTCAAGTAATTTTTCTCAAATCAGTGACATACATGAACTTAGAAATCTTTAATCAATGAATGGAATATCAATCTCTTCTAGTCACCAACTAACATGGTGAATCTAACACTTGATTTTTATTACAACTTTTTAGTGTGAGGACCTGTCTCTTGAACAACAACATGCTTCAGTTTGTGATCTTATAGAAGGAAATGAAGGTTATAATGGAATCAGTCACATCTCAGAATCATATAAACATTAAATATTGTAACGATGAATATATTCGTAATATCCTAATGAAGTCTATCTCCTCATGTTTTAACTCAGAGTATCAAATATTAATCTCACCAACATAACTTATTAGAAGTTAGTTTGGCTGTAAATTGTTAAGAATAAAGTGTACTTCTGAAATCGAAATATATAAAAGGGACTAGTTGCTTTAAGGCGAGGATTTGTAAAGCAATGACCGCATTTCTACAATTGAAGAACATATGGAAAACAAAACAACTGTCAACTAATTTCAAAGTGAGAATCTTCCATACGAACGTCAAGACAGTCCTACTGTACGGAGCTGAATCGTGGAGAACTACTTCGTCCATCGTCAAGAACGTACAAGTATTTAAAAACAGTTGTCTACGCAAAATACTCAACATTCACTGGCCGGATATTATCAGCAACAGCGTTTTATGGGAGAGGACAAACCAGCTTCCAGCTGAAGAGGAAATTAGGAAAAGAGGTTGGAAATGGATTGGACATACATTAAGGAAATCACGAAACAAGCCCTAACTTGGAATGGTGATGAGAAGCGGAAAAGAAGAAGGCCGAAGAACAAATTGCTCCGGGAAATAGAAGCAGATATGAAAAGGGTGAATGTTAACTGGTAAGCATTGCCCAGGATAGGGATGGATGGAAAATACTAGTGTGCAGCCTATGCTCCTCCACGATGGGTAACAGGCTTGAGTAAGTAATTGCTTTAAATGCTATATTTGTAAAGTTTTACAGTTTTGAATTGAGTATACACGATTATCCTCTTATTTTGATCCCCACTAATCTTGGAATACTTTTTACATTTAATCACAAAAACATAAATAATACTGATGTCGAAAAATTTGTCTATGAGTGATGAAATTAGCCTATAACATTGACTTTACTAGACTGAATACGTTTAACTATCATACTGAACTAAACTATCATATTAAACTAATCTTTTAATACCCAGTTGGATTTATTTATTGTTGTTCTTAAATAACTCCATCTGCGACCCCTCTATGGTTACCGTCAGTTCAAAACCCGAGAAATTTAGGAGGTTCGGGCATGGAATTGTCAGTTCAATCCCATAACAAAGAACCTTAATACAAAAACTAACTAGATAAATTGTCTTAGGTAAATGGTGAACATAAATCAATTATAGTTTTGTTTCCAAATAAATTAGAATATAAAACTGGTGTTTTGGTTCGGACTAGAAAAATTTATTTCTCAACGACAAATTTCACTTCCTTATCGCTTCACTAACTCCTTTATTATATTGACCGGATATTAAGCTAATCATTTCAACTTAAAATAGTTCATCGATATATAACTACACTACTGAATAAACAACATAGTAGTCACACTTTTTAGGTGAAAAAACAAGTTGCTACATTTCATATGATGTCAGTTTTTTCCTCAATAAATCCATCACACCCATTATGGCAGCATTACATTTATCTTGTTCTCGATCTTGTCTATGAAACCCAATTAACATAACAAACTGTAATCCTCCTTCAGATCTTAAATATTCTTCATTTGGTATTTGTAGTCGCGTTGCTGTGAAAGCACTCAAATTGATTTTGTTTACGCCACTTTCTTCGATGGCCATTAAAGTTTGATTGTAATCGGCGTAAAGTATTCTATACCTTGAAAAAGAAAAAATAAAGATAATAGTCATAAAGGGTATTCAAGTTTTCCAAATATTCATTTTTTTTACTCATACGATGAAATGTATGGTTTTTTTCTTTTCTGAGATATTGACGACAATCCTGCCAGGATTCAACTTGAAGAACTAATAAATGTTTATAAAGATTATTTTGATTGTAAATGATAGTTTTATGTAGTATGAGGTGATAATAAAGTACCTGTTCAGTATACTCTTGTTTTTTAATCAATATAACTGATATTATATTATTTTATCAATTACAAAACTATAGTCGGTTAAATGTAAATCGGTTATTCTTTTCCTTCTTTTAAAATTTTGACACTTATTTTATTTGTGTAATCACATGGGTTATACAAACAATAATTATTCAACTCTACTCTTCTGTTGTTCTACTTATATGTTAGGGGGATATGGTAATCAGAGTGAAAAATATACGGTAATAGAATTATCAATTTTTGTTAATAATACTGTTGAAAACATAAAAATTGATACCGGGTTTTATGTGAAAAATATTTCCAAGTTTTTACTTTTTTCATCGGCTGCATGCATTTCGTCTTTTTTAAAACAGGATTTAATCAGATTTTAATTTCTGTGAAGAACAAACATAAAGAATCTCTAAATTTTGGACAATAATTCAGTCGTTTATGATTTACGTCAACGAACTGATCTAAATCACCTAACTGTTTAAACCAAGAAGTACGCAAAAGAAAGTTATTCTTCGGTAAAACACCATGAGATTGCTCAGTAGTTCACAGTTATAATCACACCGGGAATTTATTTTAAAACCTGAGCTCCATTGAAATTCAACCATGTTCGGATATAAGACATTTATTAAATCATAACACTGAAAGACGGTTGTGGTTTACCACAAACCGCCTGAAGTTAGAAATGTAAATCACTGGATGTTGACTAAATGGCTTAAAGATTAAACTTGAAGGCTCAAAGTTCATTTGTCAATAGTGTCGTAGATATGCATTGTTATGAAGTCTTATTCTAAGATGAAAGATCTGTCTTTCTAATACTTCCTAATTTAATAGTTACCTAACTAATATAATTTTATGATGTAAACTATGAAATTCAGCAGTTTCTATAAACCCTGTGTACCAAAAGATGATATTAATTTTCTCATATTTCCCAAGCAGTTTAATCCCATCTTATCAACTAGTCTTTCTTACACTTAACCAGTATAGTTTGAATTATCATTGAATTTAAAGATTTAGACCATTCAATTATAATCAATTTGTTTAAAGGTCAGATGATTAATATAAAACTCGAACGTTTATGTCTTAATTCCTTGTATGAATCATGTGTACTGACTCTTGAGGGCTCTTAAAATACTAGTACATTTTCTTTTCACCATCATACTTGTTTAATTGCAGTTTAATTGTATTATTTAATTATTTTTCTAAAATTATAAAAGTAGACTACTGGTAGGATCTCATAATATATCTATCATATTAAAATCTTATAAATGAATATGGATTATTGATCATTAGTAACTGGATATAACAACAACAACAACTGTTTTTTTATAGGAAAGTTGTCAGCACAATCTTCCATTTATTCATATCATATGTGTTCAACATCAGTGTCAATCAGTAAATATATATGACCACACAAACAAACACAAGTACCAGTCACCGAGTTATTGAAGAATGCCAAGTTATATTCTAAAATAATTTGATCATTATGTAATAAGTTCTGTGATTATTGCAATAGAACAACTAATATCGATCAATCTATTCATATTCATATTTATAGGATAGATAAATAAATATGTGAGAATTAAAGTAATTATTATTATTACTATAAATTAAAATTATATCCTTTTTTTGTTCAAATTAATAATTAAATATAGAATTTTCAACGACAACAACAACGAAAAATAAGAGAAAGAGAGGGTGAATATATATTGAATTATTTGAAAATAATTTAATAATTTTTCATTTAAAAACGTCATTAACACAAAGAATCATAAATATATAATAATAATTATCCAAACTAATTTTTTGCCAATTTTATAGATACATACATTCACACACACATATATACACACACAGATAGATGAATATATATTATAAATACACAGATACACATACACACACATACATACATATAAAAATTGCAATTAAAAATAAATGCGTGTTCAATTTCAAATTTTCTATTTTCCTAAAATTAATAATAAATAATTAAAAAAAGAGAGAAAAAAAATAGAGAAAGGGAGGGAGGGAGAAGAAAAAAATAGGGGGTAAATGAATAAAATGAAATTTATTATTTTTCTCTATTTTTACTAGAGAATAAAAAAAATTAAAAAATCTATATAATTAAGAAGGGAAAAAAATTTTCTTTTTTTAAGAGAGAGAGTCGATTGAAGTGAAAATAATTCACGAAATGTTTCATTTATTTATTCATTATGTGTATGTTATTATTGAAATCATTCTCTATGTTATTATGATTATTATTTTGTATGTATGTATGTATGTTTGTTTGTTTTTAAATAAAAAAAGGATTCAAATTAATATGAAATTTATAATTTCCGTATATTTTATTCGATTAAGCTAAAAAAAAATGACAGAGAATAAGAGGGTATGTTACATTAAAATGGAGTGGAGAGAGGATGTTTGCAACTATCATTGTGTTATTATTATTATTATTATTATTATTATTACTATTAGTGCTGCTTTCTAAAAGAATTTAAAAAAAATCATTTTCTGACATAACTACTAACTAAATATGTGTGTATGTTTTTTTATATTTAAATACGTATAAATGATGATGTTTAAGATGAAATAGGGGGGAAATTTTGATATTTTTAAAAAATGATATTATTATTATTATGTAGGATAATTATGTTTAATTATGATCGAAACTCATTAACTTTTATATCACAAAAATGAGAAGAAAATAAAAGAGAAGTTGATATTTCAAGTATGATCTCTTTATGATACTTTCTCTCAGGCATAATTCTAATGTGTTATGTTAGTTTGTTGTCATTAAAGTGTTAGTTTACTTTCAATAATGAATGTATGTTGTTGGCATGAACAAATGAATGAATGAATGAAGTATTATTCGACTAGTTATGAACTCACTTTCATTCTATATAAATCTTTTTAATTACTTTAAACTATACACTTTTGTAAATACTTTCTGTCTCTTACTCTCTCTTTCTCTCTTTCTTTCTTTCTCTTGTTCTCTACAGTATGAACACATACGGAGATACACAACAAACTACACTTATAAAATATTTATTAAACAAATATAATTTTATCAGAAAACTCTACCTCTCTATTTTGTTAGTAAAAACAACAATAAGCATGATCTCTCTCACTAGCTTCTTCTCAAGTTACGTAATCATAATACTATTCTTTGACTAAACAAATTTTCATTTTTGTTACTCAAAACTTTCCCTACAAACTATATTTATGATTTAATTTAATGAACAGTTTCAATATCCTATTCAATAAACATTGTCATTATCATCATTATCCTATACCTACTTTTTTTAATGATTTAGTATTATTAAAGCTGTACTCTATTTAGAGAAAGGGAAAATAATAATGAATGAATGAGTGTTTGTTTGTTTTATTTATCATTAATATTAACAATATTGTTTAATTTTATTCATAAAAAAACACATTTAATTTAATATATTTTGATGAATCTAGTTAATTGTTTTGTTTTTTAAAAGGAGAAAAAACAAACAGTCTCTCTCTCTTTTTCACTCTATATTTGTTTATATTTATAAATACATAAATATCTGAAGGGGGTTTTGTAGAGATTTTGCATTTTCATAGTTGAAAGCGTGAGTCAATTGAAGCTAGACCACCAGGGAAAACCTGGAAGCAGTGGACGGCCGTTTCGTCCTATTTGTGGTTGGAGTTAGTCATAAACACCATCGGATGCTAGCTCAACGGTCTATCGGTTAAGTGCTCTGGCGCGAGACTGGTAGGTCCTGTGTTCGAATCTCGTCAGGCAGATCGTGATGCGCACTGCTTAGGAGTCCCACAATAGGATGGAACGGTCGTCCAGTGCTTCCAGGTTTTCCCTCGAGGTCTAGCTTCAATTGACTCACGCTTTCAACATAAATATCTGTTTTTTTTTAATATTCTCATTATTATTATTATTATCATTATGATAATCTGAAGGAAGGTAATACTGATTTATTTCACTATAATATAAAGGTTAGGGAGATGAACATGATGAGAAGAGAAAGGATTAATGATACAATTCGAATAGTGAATATCTATGGTGTTAAAGTTAATATTGCTTAAACCAATAGGTTTAGAAGAATCATTAATTGGGAGGTTACTTGTTTTAAATTATAATACTTATCATATCAATATTTTTCTATCATAAAATAATTAATATAACTAATATAGGATTAGTGAGTCTATTACTAACAAAATATTAATATTAGTAGTGTGATGGGATACAATTAATACTTTGAATAAATAAACAAAGTACCATTGTTATTATTTTCAATGATAATACTAAAAGTCATGCTCAATAATAATTCGCGTTTAAATAAACAAAATTAATTCTCTTGATTGTAAACAAAAAAAAACAAGTTAATCCCAGTTTCAGTGTTAAATTGCATGTATCATCTTTTGGTCATTAGAGAAATATGTACATCTATGTGTATGTATGTGTGCAGACGTATAGATTGATGTTTCAGTGTACAAGTACGTGTCTAATTACATATAATTAATGCTATGGATTATAATTTATCAGAAATTAATGCGTTTCAAGTCACATAAATTATGCATAGACCATTACACTTACATATAACACACATGCAAATATTCATTACATAAAAAAAGTTAATAAGATAATTCTATTTGGATTGTATCCTTTTAAAGAAAGCAACTCTTTTGATAATTATTTCAAAATAATAACCATAATAGAAGTAATGTTATATATGACTAAATAGTATATGTCAAATATCTTAGGAACAAACAATTTCAAAATTTCGATAGTTGAAAACATGAGTCAATTGAAGCTAGACCACCGTAGAAAACCTGGAAGCACTGGACGGCCGTTCCGTTCTATTGTGGGACTCCTCACCAGTGCACATCCACGACCTCACCTCACGAGATTCGAACCCAGGACCTATTAGTCTTGCGTGCAAGTACTTAACCGATTGATCACTGAGCCGGAATCCTATGGTGTTTGTGTCTAACTTCAACCAATCCACAAAATTGAGCATCCGTTCTCCAATTGTCTTCGGTGAGTTCCAATCTTACAACAGACGTGATTTGAACTTCACTGGTCACTGCTTCTCACAGCCATCCAGTGCTTCCAGGTTTTCCTTGGTGGTGTAGCTCCAATTGACTCATGCTTTTAACTATGAAAATACTAAATCTTCACAAAACCCCTTCTGCATTTCAAAATTAACTGAAAAATATAACATTTGACTACTTATTAAAAAATATATGTACTTATATGTATTAGTATTTTTTGTGACTGTTTACATATATGTAATATCAAAATGCTTACAAACTCGTATTGTAAATTATTCAATTCATATATACTCAAACTTAATGATTGATCACTGATCTGTGGCCAAAATCTTGTTTATCTAGTCGTTAGTAAAGGAAATAAGAAAAATTGTTAAACTGTAATATTTACAAAACCATAATGTCGAGGAAACATTGTACTCAAGTTTTACAAAATTTTTTTAGGATCTATGTTGTGTAAAATAAAAAGTGTTTTTTAATAACTGATTGGTTACTGGGTGGTGACAAATATCAGATTGGTATAGTCCCTCAATACCAATCAAGTTCTATAAATCAAAAAGTTACATTTTTGGCATTAGTTTAAGCGACTTGGCATTCTAGTGTAATATTTTTTAATGATAGACGGTTAGAATTACTTACTAAGATAACCTCGCACTGGTTTTTCTGCTACCTGACACTCGTCAACAGGGCTTAACTGTAATCTTAAGAGAAATAATGCTTCCTGAAAGACTTCATGCTGTGTAATCCAGCTTCATTTTTTGAAACGTTAACATTGAATTGTCCAAACTTCAACTGACCTCCTGTAAGAGTATCAGTCCCCTCAATATTGCACATAAGCTTTTCTGGCAAGTGTCAATTAGCAAAAATTCTAGGTAAATTTTCTTATTGAATACCTCTAACTACCTATTATCAAGAGGCATCACACACGATATCAAGCCACTAAGATTAGTATGTAGTATCAGTTTATATGTTAAGCCCATATACTTTATTCTGGCTTCTGACCAAGCTAATTCGCCTATATATTATGAGTCATATTTTGATCTTGTTCATTATTCGCTTATTAACCGTGACTACTTTCTGTATGAGCGTATATTTGTGCATACTTCATATCCTATTCATCATATGTCTGTCATTCATTTTTGTCTGATTATAAATATTGAGTAATGCTTGCTCATAGCGAGTTGGCTTCCCAGCCATCTCCACTGCATGTCATTTTCGCTTCGTTCGCTTTTATTCGCTTCATCACCCTGGTTCCCTGGTCAGATCAATGAGTGTAGAAAATATATGTATTCTAATTCCATTCTCATATTTGGCTTATTTAACTCCGTTATTCACCAACGCGGATAAGTCATTTATTACATACGAGGATAGACAGTACATACGATCAAAAAGGAATCAGATTTAAACTACTACAACCTAACTGGTTAGCCCAACATGCGAACACGCAACACAAGTAGGCGGGCAGCAACTTGTTGATCAGCAGAGTTTAATAAGTACTACAGACTAGACAAACACAAAATTGGTGACATCTCAATGATCAATTATTAGTAAATAGTGATAACGTTTAGTATAAGGTAATTTTTCCAGGAAAAAATTGTAAATCACATATTTTATTCATGATGATTCCAATTATCAACTATTTGATGTTTATTAGTGACGAAAATAGTTCTATAATGTATAATTCATACAAATTTAAATTATAGGTCAATTCGTGATATCAATAACATCCAATAGTCTCTATAAACCTCGTATATTGATAATTGTAAATTGTAGTCTGGAATTTTCTGAATTTGAAATTTCAACGATCAAAATGATTTTGGAACGTAATCAATAGTCTGAATTTTTAATACAATCGATTTTGCTAGACTATAAACTCAAATAATGACAAAGGGACAATTTTTTTTTCAAATCTAATCATCAATTCCATTTTATAACAAAAAATATATTTGCGATGATTGATTTGCAGTTATGTATCTAAGATCATCTATCAATGTAGATTTTGACTTATTTACATAAAAGTATTAAATAATTTATATCCTAAATGATTATTTGTAAGTTAATGAATGAATATGATTTTTTTTTAACTGATAACAATCGAATGAAACATCATAAGAATATCTACTTTCTTCAGGAAACATACATACTGTAAAACTGCTCCTGAAGCCTTCCAGGGTTACTACTGACTGTCCTAAGCCAAGATAACAGAAAAGGGTTGGGTTCACGGTTATCGACCGTAGCTTGTAAAACAAAACTTCTTGGAAACTGCTCGTGTGACCATAACGTTTTATAGTTATCTTGAGTTTTCCAACTCATTCCTTAATTGGAAGTAATCAGAAGAGACTGTTGTCGATAGAGGTTTTATGATAGTCATTATTCATTCGATAAGTATATCTGCAATCTTTAGGTAACTGACATTCTCTGTGGGAGTCGGATTTGTGACATTCAGTAACGCATTCATTGACGCTACCATTGAGGGATTCGGCTAGTGACCCATCTGTAACAGGACTGATATTTTTACACTTATTAACTTCTGACTAGGAAGCAATGTCATTTCTCTAGTCACCCAGTGCTGGTCGAATTCTGTTGATCAAGTTGTAATGTAAGCACTGATGTAATTGACCAGTCATTGAATCCATTATATTTTGTTTAATAATATGTTGATTTGTAATTTGCACGATGCACTAGGCTAGAGTTGTGAGTTAGTTTATAGTATAAATTTTTAAAAACGAGAATTCTGCTCCAAAATGTAACACTTAACAGTTCTCAATGAACTCATTATTCATTGATATTGGAACATAAATTAGCCTAAGGGGATTACTTGTTTTCGATTATCTATCAAGTAGCATTCTAATCCTAATGAACATTGAATTTTTATTTGGATAGGGAAGATTTGTAGAACTTGTAGAATTTTCATAGCTTGAATCGCCTAATCATTATTGAGAACCTGAAATCACTAGAGGTTAAATATTCGCATGCATGACTAAATGTTTCAAGTTCCATTCCCTTCGATGAAGTTGTGTATGTCCATCACTAAGGAGTCTTATTTACTTACGTCTGTTACCCGTCGTCGAACATAGGCCGCACACTATCATTCTCCATCCATATCTGTCCTGAGCAATCCTTTCCAGTTCTTTCCAGTTGCTATTCATCCTTTTCATATCTGCTTCTATTTCATAACGTCATGTGTTCTTTGGCCTTCTTCTTTTCCGCTGCCCTTCCGAATTGCAAGTTAGGGCATGCCTCGTGATATAGTTTGGTGATTTCCTTAATGTATGTCTGATCTACTTCCAACGTCTTTTCCTAATTTCCTTTTCAGATGGAAGCTGGTTTATCCTCTCCCATAAAACACTGTTGCTGATAGTATCCAGCCAGTGAATGTTGAGTATTTTGCGTAGACAACTGTTTATAAATACTTATCACCTTCTTGACAATGGATATAGTACTAGGAAGTTTTATACCAAGATATAACAACCATCTATCATTTTCACAATTTTTTAAAAATGATTTTCTAATTAAAAATCAATTCATGATTTCATTTATTAAAAACAAACATTCAATTTATTGATAAATTTTTTTTACTTACTTTTTACCCCATAGTAATAATCCACCATTTTTATATAAATATGGTTGTCTAATTGCCCAACATAATTTTTCACAATCATTTTTATTAGGTATATTGATTAAAAAACTTAATTGATTATTATTATTATTATTATTAAAATAAGAATAATATTGACCAATTATATTAAATTGATTAATAAAATATGATTCATAACAATAATATAAATGTTTTATTGATTTATTTATTAAATTATGTAATTTAAATTTTGGTATTAAATTTATATGAAATAAAAATACTTGATCAATATAATTTAAAAGATTAATTTTTAAAAAATTTGACCAATCATATGAAAGTATAAATTGACTGTTGAAAGTTCTCAATATGTTATTTTGAATAAAATTATTATTATATAATAAATCATGAATATTAGATCTTGTTGAATATGAATTATTACCATTATTATTATTATTAGTTGATTGAATTAATGGAGTAGATGATGGAATCCGTTTTTTTATTACATTATGATCAATAATACTTGTCACATATAATTGAGGTTGATATTTTTCCTGTAAACATTTTTATAATATAATACATATAATATAAATTTAAAGAATAAATGTTTAATTATTTTTTGATTAATTAAATTAAGTAATATTATATTAGGTGATATTGAAAATTTTATTTCTTTTTAAAGATTTTCATCAGTATGTACCCTAAGGACCGGTGTCTAGATCTATTAATCTAAAAGCATCTAACTGAAATGTTCTTCTAGTGATTGACTGGATTATTAAGACGTTGACATCTGAGGGAAAGCATGGAATACAATGGACATCTCAGAACCAATTAATTGATTTGTACTTCGTAGGTGACCCATCCCTTCTATGCCATATTCACGAACAAATACAACTAAAGTAGCAGCAGCCCCTGCATCAATAGGCCTCAACATACACAAATGAAAAAGTATGATTTTCAATTACAACACGGAGAACACCAACTCAATCACACTTGATGGAGAAACTATTGAAGAGGTGGAAACATTCACATACCTGGGAAGCATCATCGATGCAGACGTAAAGGCGAAGATTGGCAAAGCAAGTACAACCTTTCTAAAATTGAAGAACATGCGGAACTCAAAACAACTGTCAACTAACTTCAAAGTGAGAATCTTCAATACGGACGTCAAGACAGTCCTACAGTATGGAGCTCCAGGAAATACCTCTTGAAGTCAGTCATTAGTGATCATATGAATATCATCAAAAGGGGATTTTGTAGAGATCTTAGTAATTTTATAGTTGAAATCATGAGTCAATTGAAGCTAGACGATCATGCTGAGGAGTCCCTTAATAGGACGAAACGGCCGTTCAGTGCTTCCAGGTTTTCCAGGATAGTCTAGCTTCAATTGACTCGTGATTTCAACTATAAAATATAGTAGTTTATGTCTTCAACTTCAATAAATTCTTGGCAAAATTCCACCGTTGTGGTAATGATGATTTTTTTAAGAGATCTCCGAATGGCATGAAATATTTGTTAAGCTCTCCTTTATTTGAGATCATTCCTTACTTCGAATTAAATCTTATTATCCAATCTTGGTGACCTTGTTCTGCCAATCCATCAAGGTATTATTTTCCAGCGATACTCTGCAGGAGTAAAAAAACTTGGAGATTTTCCTTGAATATTCATCTATGTTATTTGTTAAAGCAACGCGGATCATCAATCTCCATCATTTTTAACTAGATCTAAGATAGTGTCTGGCTATCTCATAAACGCTTTCTTTCACTCTCAGTCAGTAGAAACACTATTGGTAAGTGTAACGCTGATCATGGGATTTTACCTTCAAAGCATACTCTATCTTTACAGAAGAACAATTAAACAGAACTGAAGTCTTATTTGATTATTCCATTCAAGAATTTTCAGACCCAAAGATCTGCTTCGAATACTGAAAGTTTTTCCAAGTTAAAATCTTGTTCGCACTAGACCAACATTTAAAGACCTCATTAAGACGAATTCGTCAATCAATCCGCATATTTTTACCACAAAAGCGGTTGGAAAGCCCCACAGCCACTATACCACAGATAAACTAGTTTTGATAGTAATCAAAACTAGGATTATGCAATGACTGTATATTGCAAGTCTAACTACGAACATCTCAACTGAAGAAACTTCAATTATAAACTTTTGTAAATAAAGCTACTTTGGTTGCTAGCGTTAGGTTTACCCTTCAATTCGTTATTAAATCATTTAAATCGTGCTTATTCCGATTACATACCATCAACGTAGTCCCTTATCTGCATTTTTAGGTAGATATCTTCCCTATCTCTGATGTACTCAATCTATTTAGCTGATTACAATTATAAAAATTATTACCGCCATTCAAATTTGCGAGAAAAAAAATGGATGCAATATATAAATTGATGCCTAAAAAACACTGATTCAATGAATATGTTAAAATATTGAAATTATCTCTCTGCGTGTGTGTGTGTGTCAACTCGTTTTGAGGAACAATAATAGATAATTTTACAACATTACTTGGAATCTAAAAAAATTTTTTTATTTTTTTTCCTGAAGAAAAAATTTTTTTTCGATATGTTTTAGAGTTTTATGTTCAAAGCGAAATATTTTCAATGTTCAACGAAATTGAAAGGAAATGATGCTACAGATATATATATATTCATTTCTTGTATACAAAAAAAACATACTACTGTTATTATTATTAGTAGTAGTATCAGTATTATTATTGTTATTAGGAATGATATCATGACATAAAGTAAAGAATATCCAATAATAAAAATTTATTTAATATTCCTAAAAATTAAATAAAAATAGAGACAATATTCTATTCGAATTCTTTTTCAATGAAATGATGTTACATTGTTAGAACAATGAAGTTGTTCAACGTTAAATAACGTGTATCTAAACACACACACACACATACACACATACAGAGACTTACATACGTATACACAATTGTTGAACAATGAATATTGACCTTTGTAAAATGAAAATAAACTAGAAAACTTTGTAGAAGGAAATATGATGAATAGGAAGATAGATTGATGAGTTAATATTGATATTAACAATGAATATTTTTTTCTCATTAGTTTTATTATTACTAGTAGTATTAGTAGTATTATTATTATTACGAAAAAAAATAATAATACCGGAAAAAAAGTTTAAAATAGTTTTCTATTTATCTACCGGAAATTATTAACCTTCTACTATTATTATTAATACTTATAATAATAAGCAATAATGTTAATTATAAGTTCGTAATTTATTTGGAAATATAAGTATTAAAAGTTAATCTATTTATAATAATATTAGGTTGAATGATTAGAAATTTATGAGAGATGTTTCAAAGATGATAGTTGTTTCATGTATACTTCAGAAGGGTCCAACAGAGACAGAAATTCTCAGAGATCAAATTACTCTTCAATATTTATTGTTGCTTATAAAGCATGAATTAGCTGTGTTTACACATAGGTGGGTATTCACATGTTCAATCTAATGAGAAAATTTTTAAATGGTTATTTAATCATTTGGAGTTACAACACCCTTTCATTAACTACTCTACTTTAGTAACGTAAAGGATTAGTGAAAATTGTTGAATTCCATAATTTAAGTAACAAACTGACCCTAGACAGCTACCGAAAACCAGAAAGGGCTGGACAGGCAACTTTCTACCATTAATAGTAGAACATGATTATGCAATATCGCGAACCAATTGATGTCACAAGTGTAAGTCGATGGATGCCAAGTCAATAGGTTAAATGATTAAACATTCGTCGTGAGACCTAAAAGATTTGTGTTCGACTTCCCGTAGGGATTGTTAATACCTAACTGCTAATGAGTCTCATATTAGGATGAAATAAATGTTCAGGGTTCCCTGGTTTTCAATAGTTGTTCAACTAAGAACCAGTCACGATGTAACCGATATGAAATATATGACTTAACTGTTCATTTTCGAGAGAGGTTGAAGATTCTCAAATTGTAAAATAACAATCATAATTCTTGTTAAGTTACAATGATTACTTAAAAATATCCTACTTTAATGAGAAGCACACTTAGATTTTTAGGGAAACGACAAAACGTACAAAATAACTCAATATTTCACTTCTATACAACTCGCTTGTGTTAAAAATAGCTTTGTCATGAATTGAAATTGGTTTAGAAAGAATTAATAACCAGCAGATATCAGATACGTCTTTCGTCTTCATTTGGTACTTTTCAGTAGTGTACACCTACGAACTCACTGTGAAATTTCCGAATTTTAATCAATCATTTCAATATCATTCCTTCTATTTTCACATGTTCTATGGATCTACATAGAATTTAACATAATGTTAATCTCCCTTAATATGGGATTAGTTAATTATATCCTTGTTGTAGATTTGTAAAAACATTGTTCTTTGAATAGCCTTTTGGTAGTATCATTTTGTTAATGAGAATAAATTTTTGGCGGTGTGAATGTTTTTCGTCTTTACTCCTCTCACGCTATTCGCAAAACGTCATCCCAAACACGTAATGGGATGTTTATATGAGAATTTATAAAGGCAGTCAGCTTTCCATTTTAGTACTGTAGTGAACGAAGACCTGGCCAGGAAAACCAATTTACTGCTGGTAAAAAAAGATAAACCAGATATTTGATACATTATTTGTAAATCTTCATTCAGTTGTCCTTTACATGCCTCATGATTCTTTTAATTATTTTGTTATTACAATTTCTCTCTTTTTCCTTTCTCGTTTTCTTCAATTTAATCTCCTCAACCTTCTGCTTTCTATTACTAATACATACTACTTATATCTGCCAATATAAGTAGTATACACGACAATGTCAGTTTGCAAGTTTCTTCATAGCAGTGGGATTACGTGGTGATGAATGTCATATATATTAGGTCCTTCTTAGTGCAGATCGAATCCTATCGACCAAGTTGCAGTGTGGCCACTAGTTCAGGTGATTCGATGTTTTGTGCACTATGTTACGATAAGATGGTGGTTAGAAGTAGTCAACAGAAAACCCTGGACCTAGGTTTCGTGCTACTTGGCACTCCTCAGCAAGGTGTATCTGTAATCTTAAGGGAACTGATGCTCCTTGATGGATTCGATCTCGTGTATACAACGGTAGTTTAAAAAGATATGACACTCAGTAATAAATCGACACAAACATCTTAGTCCTACAGGTGATCAACCAAGTCCCTGATAGATAATTGTCTCAGACTGTGAAGCTGGCCGACGAATAATTTAATCTCACACCAACCAACAATTCTCTCAAGACTGAAGATAACCCTTACTGACAAATATCGACTATCGAGGAGTCTAGGTTGAATAAGATTACCTGTAGAATACATTCAACCATCGAACGTATCAATTTAATATACGCGATGTCAAATCACCTGGAACAGTGACCGCAGTGCAACCTGATCCATATAATTTAATCAGTATTAAAAGACAAGAAAGATATGACATTGATCATTAGTCAGAGATTATGAAATGTAAATATTTTATTGTTTTTTCTCAAGTATATGCACTGATACAATCAACTCTCAATCGGCAAAGTAGAATTATACCTGTGAATAGATCAAAGTGTATAACTACTTAATAATTTCAGGATATTTTTTTATTTTCTAGAAAATATTTAACTACAACAATAAACTATTGGGTCAAACATTACATCTGCTTAATTCTTCTAAAATTGAAATCTTTATTTCAATAGTTTACTCTTACTGTTGAAGTGAAATATCAATAAAAAGTTATATTTAAAGAAACGAGTCAGAAAGTGATGGGTATTCGTTTGCGGATTTGAAGCCCATATGTTTCTGAATGTCTAATATTTGTACAACATCTAGCTTTTTCTTTTGTTCATTTAGTGAGTGAATGCTTCACAACGTTTCATAATTTTTACTGAAGATTTTGTTGTAAGCCCTAACTTCCATTTTATTTGTTTCTTCATTTGGTAAGTTGAGATATCTTATAGTAACGTGTTCACAGAAATCATCTTTACATAGCCTTACATGACTAAAATGAAGTTCCCAGTGAAAATTAAACTATACACATTAAATGAACGGGGAATTATTCAAAAATTCAAGACATAGCATTTTTATTGAACATCATAAAAGGATAACTATCCTAACACCTCATAAAATATTTAATTTCTTTTTATTTCCCACTGTTTATTTGTTAAATCGCTCTTTATTCCATTCTACTAAGATAATAAATATGACAAATTAGTTGTTAAGGTTATGGATCTTTATCAACTGATTCGGTTAGGACAAATATTACAAGTGCCTAACCACAGCCCACTTAAACGAACCATATTGGGTAGTATAGGATTGGGCTGGAAAAATACCAGAAGTAGGCAAATCAGAAATAGACATCTGTGCCTATAAAGTCATTGACCGTTTGTTCAAACCTTTTGATAGACCCAGACTACCTGGTTGAAATTTGTATGATAATCAAGATGAGTATTTGAAGACAATGAGTGATATGACTCGAAATCGTTCAAAACGATACATATGTATTCATTCTCTGTCTTCTTTTACACTTTGAATTCTAGCCATATTCTCCACATTTAGTCTTTCTCACCATCATTGGTACTGAGATTATTTCGAATTACTTGTTTTTCATCTTGTTAATTTCATTTCATCATATCAACTTAGGGGCAACGTACATACATTCCACTCTTTATGTTGATTATAACTGACTACTTAATGGTATCGATCAATCAATTTGAATGTAAGAACCTAATCTTGGCACTGTCAACAACAATGAAATTTACCTTAATTTTATTAACGAGGTATAATATAATTTATTAGTTTTTTTTCTTCTTCCATAAAGCAACCCAGAAGATTGCTGAACCATCTTATTTTATTAAATTAGTAAAAATTATTGATATTTTATTCACTAATAATAATAAGCAACCCCATGAGATAACAATTTCTCCTCTACCATCTTCGTTATTATTCCCCCATAGACGCTTGTTTAAATTAAACTCACTAACCGAATAGTCAACTATTATTATTATTATTGAAATATTATTGTCGCTAATTCGCATGCTTCCTCTCTCATATTCCCTAATGACTGTTCACCTGATAGCTACATAATTCGTGTTATAAATAATTTTATCCTTTCTAATTAACATGACCTAGTGGATTGTTACGTTAGTAATCACAAAATGAATCCCATTGAATGAAATAATTTGATAATGAATATGATTTTACTCTTCTCCCTTCTTGCCCAACCCTTGTATCCTACATCTAATTAGACTGTGGAAATATCAGAAGAACAATGAATTGGTTATTGATTGTAAAAATAAATTATGATTATTTAGTTAAAATCCGACTATTTATATATATTTTTATTAATTAACCTACACC